CAGAACATTCCAAAAAATCTTAATCATCTTTATATCCCCATCCCAAATGACACCCTCCCATAGCCTCCCCCACTGGAGTTCATATACTATGTCATTCCTGTTACTGACCACTGTGTTGTCAGTGCCCCTAGCTCTTCCCCAGTGCAAGTCCATTTGCTGAATCTAGTCAGCCTATCTAAAGTCCCTTGTTTTAGGAAGATCAATTCTTCTTCATCTAGCAGCAATCAGTTGCCAACATTCCTTTAGATAAGATTGGGGTCTGCTGTTCATTTTCCCAGTTGTATGTTGGGTTACTATCTGCCTAAGTTTGCATGGGACTTGTGTATACTGATACCATTGCCATAGAATCATATGAGCAGATTCCCAGGAGCTGTAGGACTCTGTTTCCATATGGCCATGCACTTCCTCCCTGGCTCTTACAATCTCCCTGCTCCTTCTTCCACAATGGTCCCTGAGCCCTGGGTGGATGAAGTTTAATAAAGGAGTCCTGTCCAAGGACCATTATTTAGCAGACTCTTGATCTCTACACTTTGGCCATTTGTGACCTTTTGTGTTCCCGTCCCTCTGCTGCATGAGGAGCTTCATTATTGAGAGCTGATTCCTTAGTGTCCTCTTCTGTATCCCTGTTCTATGTTCCATGAGTCTTAGGTGTAGAGGTTGCATTGCAGATGTGTCCCTTAGGCCTGGGCAAATCATAGACAATGTCTGTGTGTGACCAGTTGTGGTACTTGGTATTAGTCTCTGACTGAAGCAAAATGAGCTTCTTTGATGAGTGGTGACTAGGATATTTGTCTGTAAATATAAGGATACATAGTTTGCACATAGTAAGAAATCACATTAGTCTAGCGATGTGAGAGTTTTGGGGTTTTCTCTAAGACCTATGACCACTCTGGTCATGTGTATTAGGTTATGTTACAGTACCACACTTGAGTTTCCTCCCTTTGAGTGTAAAAATAAATGAGCTTATTTGGGCCAATTATATGGTCTTAAACACCCAAAAGGAAAGTATAACCAAAGATTAAAGTATATTTCCTTATGAGTCCATGTGTGTAGCTAAAGGTTACATAAAAGAAACAGTGCCAGACAGGAGATACCTTCCTTTGAGTTGTTGGCCAGGATGGTCCAAGAGACTCCCAAAATTACTCAGGCTATTGCCACAGCCCTTGATGGCCTCCCAGAACTTGAAGGTAAGACCCTACTGCCAAAGACAGAACATACGTCAGATACAGGATTTGGAGAAATAGAACTGTGACTGACCTGGAAGCCACTTTCCCTGCAGGCGAGTGCTCATAGCTTTAGAGAACACTATGAAGGTGCCAAGAGAAAACATTAACAGATGATCCAGTACCAGCTTCAAGACCAAATACCCACATCAATGGCTAGCACAGCATACTCTACTGGTGCAGTAGTGTCACTTTTGTCTTGGGGGCAATCAACAGCTACCTAATATGACTAAAAGCCATTATGTTTTTTAAATGTTGCATATAAAATTGATGCAAAAATTCAAATGGAAATGAAGATAATGTAAAATAGCCAAAATAACTGAAAATGAAATTTGAAGCTAGACAACATCTGACTTGTGATTTAAACATGGTCATCAAGTCTGTATGGTATTTACATTAGCAGAGAACAAAGGAGGAAAAAAGGACAGAAATAGATCGTTTTTTCCAAAGGCACAAAGACAAATTAGTAAAGAAAGAAGCATGTTTTCCAAAAAGGATGCTGGAATAATTAGCTATTGTAGGCAACAAAACAAGGAAACATTGGTCCATAACTTTCATGGTGAGGAAAAATTAGTTCAAAATTGTTCATGTATTTAATATTAAACCTAAATCTAATACAACGTCTAAAATGAAATTTATTTTTTTTTAGCTTTTGGTAAATAAAAGATTTCTGAGATGGTACAAAACTATAATCCATAAAAATGACTTCCATGCCCTCAGAATACTATAAATATTGGAGATGGCTCAGCAGATAAAAGTGTGTGCTACACAAGAGCGACTATGTTCAGAAACCGAAACTCCCATACAATTCTGGTGGGAATGTCAAATAGCAGAACCACACTGGGGTGGTTTGGTAGCTTTCTAAATTTCGATTGTTCATCTTTCATGTGATCAGGTCATTCCACGCTTACATATTAACCCAAGACACGGGAAGCCAGGCATAAAGAGGTTGTGCATATTGTGCAATCCAATTTGTCTTGTTCTATTGATATTGCGGATGACCAGGTTTCATTCTCTTTATGGTCAAATAGCTTTCCATTGTGACGTGTGTTGTACTTTATCATTCATCAGTTGATGTTGATTCCATGAAAATATTATTTCTTTAAGTCTGGGATGAATCCTCAAAATTTCATTTTAAGATAAGCCCTACTAGTTGAACCTGAAGCAGAATGCCACAATCTGAATCTTGAGAAATACTTTATCCTGTGACAACCAGTTATAACTGCAATATGCCAAAGTCAAGAGACTATGAGACACTCATGCAGAGAAAAGGCACTATAATCCAGCACAAGGAGTCATTGCAATTTCCAGATGTGCTTGATACAGCCAAGTTTATACTGATTTGTTTAAAAAATGTGATGTGGGCAGTTGTGTGATGGCATGACTTGGACATATGAGGCTGAAGAGGGAAGTTACATAAGCTTGTTGACCGTCTCCTTTACTCATATGAACCCGAAGACAGTAAATTCCTTCAGAATTCAAATATTAATTATTGTGTGAAACAGCACATACTAAATTGCTGCACCATATCATATTGATATCTATACATTTTATATACTAAAATTTTTACCTTAGGGTTTTTAGTTATTGTTCCCTGTTTTCTTACATTTTAATCTAATTTTTATTTGAATTGCTGCACATTTATCTCTATAGTAATAGTTGCTCTTTAAATTTTATTTGTGAATTCATTTACATGTATTGCTTGAAAAACCATCTTCTTTTTTAAAAATTTATTAATTATTTTTATTTAACGTGTATGTGTGTATTACCTGCATGTAGGTAAGTGTACCCGTGTCATGCAATGCGTGAAGGTCAGAAGAGATTGTCTGATCCCCTGGGACTGGAGTTATGGACAGTTGTTAGCTGCCATATGGGTGATGGGATTCAAACCCGGGTCTTCTGCAAGAAAAACCAGTGTTCTTAATGCTGAGCCATCTCTCCAACCTCGAAGAACTATCTTCTAACAAAAAGAAATGCTATCCTGATTTCTGTGAGCTAGTCAATACCAGTTACTCTCCTTGCCTGTGGCTTTAAATCAGAGCTTGTGGTATTTTTTAAAATTTTTTATGTGTATGAGTGTGTTGCCTACATGTATGTAAGTGCACCTGTGTTGTGCAGTGCCAGTAGAGTTCAGAAGGGGTGTTGGATCCCCTGGAATTGGAATTACAGATAGTTGTTAGCCACAATGTAGGTGCAGGGAATGGAACCTGGGAATCTGCAAGAGCAAACAATGCTCTTAGCCACTGAGCTTTCTCTCAGTGAAAAGAGCAGGCCCCAAGGCAGAGCTTTTAAGTCATTAGCCTGTAAGCAGATTTCAACATGCATCTTTCCTTTCAGAGGACAATATTTGAAGTTCACCTTTGGAACATGTGGTCCATCATCAAATGTAGATCCTGAAGGGCTTATATGAGTGGACCTGTCTGTTGTTTGCGTTTATGCAATTAACAAATGTTCCTCTAGCTTACTGTGAGCAATGCCCTTCCTGCTTGGTATGTCCACGTGTGTGGATGTCCGTTTTAGCCTATTTTACCACAGCCCCTTCTGTAACGGACTCTGAGTTGGTAGGGTATTTTCTTTTTTGGAAGAGAATCTAAACATATAGAAGACATAATCACATCACTCATATACCCTCAAGTGATTTTAGGGAACCAAAACTTGAGTACTTCTTCTGTAAGTGGAACTCTTAAGAATTTTCTCTGGGAATTTGCTCATATGAACTTGCAACAATGGTGACAGCATGTACAAGACCCAAGACCCATGCTGACTTAATCAAACAAAAACCCCCGCACAGAAGTGGGAAAAATAGCTGAGGAACTATTAGCAGCTGATTACTGTGGGGTGAGGGAGAGTAGATCTTTTTTAAGGGAGTGGCTCTAGACAGGCTGAGTACACTCCAGTGGATGAACTTGCACCAAGGGACATATGGGTACAAATGCTTGACCAGACAGACCTTAACACATATGACAGAATGCATACAAATCAGTGGCGGAGGAATTGAAAGTATCCATGGGGGAGGGGGGATCTAAATTTGGTTAAGATTTATTATATGAAATGCACAAAAACTCAATAAAAATATATATTAAAATAAAAAAATAAAACCTAGAAAAGAATTTTCTATACTATACTTCCTCACCTCCTCATATAGAGTCTTTATGTGAGAAGCTTCCTAGGTCCCAAAGAGCTACTTTAGGGCTGAGCCCAATTTCTTTTGAGTCAAGTTGGTCATTTAGGATAAAGTTTGGTGTCTTCCGTCTATCTTCCATCACTGTAAGTGCCGTTCAGCGACTGCTCTATAGGACAGTGTGGAATTTTAGTATGCTGTGGCCCTCACTGCTCGTCACTAGTGGCCACATTGTGGCTGATTGTTCTTATTCATTTAAACCAGTTCAAGCTAAGGGTGATGCTCATTAACATCTGAGGAGAACAAGACTATCATTCCCAGCAAACTGAATTGATTCTTCTCCTTTTCCACAAAATGACTCTCAGGTTACTTTAAGTCTTAGTAAAGGATATCTCTGTGACTCACATTCTACCTAGCCCAGGAATAATCCATTGATACATTGTATACAGTGGACTTTTTTTTATATCACCCATGATAAATTATGGATAACTAGGTAGTATTTTACTTTTTGAAGAACAGTGACTTTCTGATTTACTTGTTGAATTTTTACAATTTAACTCAGGTCTAGGGTAGTATTAAACATATTACTGATAGTGATTATTCCATTGTGTAATGATCCTTTATAGAACATAACAATTTGAGAAATCCAAGCAGCATTAATTTTTATCAATTTCCTTTATTGAGTACTTGTTAACAATAAAAGAGGTATAAAGTCTTATTCCCAAGTCCAAAATGATTTTTAACTTAAACCTTGAGTTTTCTGAATTACCTAGTCTGAAGTAATTCTCTTTATACCTGAAGAATGGTTTTATTGAAATGTTTGAGATAAAACATGTGTATTGTAAGAAGCATATGACAAACATTTTGAGACTAGAAAATCAGTTGTAAAAATAACAAAATTTACCAGTAAACCCACATTGCATTAGAAATGTATAAAGCCATTGGTTGTAAAATATTTCGTTTGTTTGCCTGTTATATACTAAGCACCCATGTTTATAACCTAGTCTCCCATGGAGAAGTAACTGGTTGGTTGAATTGTCCATTGTACACCCTGAGCCTCTCTTCTCCAGAAGATAACAGTTCACCACTCCCAGACTCAGTTCTAATACATTGAGTCACCTTAACAAGAACTTTTTATGGTGAGATAATAAAAAGCCTGTGGTCCTGTACTTCCCTCAGGTCCTACCCCATGGGAGACTAACTCTACTATTTATTCCTCCTGTTTCTCATTCAGAAAAAAGAAATTAAATGTGTGTTCTGGCTTGCTTGAAGATTTATTTCTTTGTGTTGGCGTTCCAGGTCCTGAAGTCAACATGGCTCTTACAGTTTTCCCTTAAAATCACGTTGCCGACTTAGGCTTATGTGAACTTCATTATCTGGGTTCTGGATTTTCACTGAGAACGACCTTCCCTTGACCGTCTTCTAGTTCCTGAGTAGGAGGTGAGAACAGATAGATGTAAACATGACAAAACCTTACAGTTAAGAACATGGTGCTCTATGTATAATAATATCTATCAGAGACCATCACTTTTCCTTATAATAAAATTTATTTAAATATGTTCTCAAAATACCATCTGCAATTTATGGTGATAAAGACATTATACCTTAATCAAAGTTGTATTAAAATATAAAGTTAGGAGACTGGAAAGATAGCAGAAAAAAGCACCAGCTGTTCTTCCAGAGGACCCAGGTTCGAATCCCAGCACCTGCATGGTTGCTAACAGCCATCCGTAACTCCAGTTCTATGAGATCCAACACCCACTTCCGACCTCTGCAGACACTGCATGACATGGGTACACTTAAATGCACGCAGGCATAACACCCATACATATAAAATAAAAATAAACTTTAAAAAATTGTGCAACTGATCACTTAATTTTAAAGTTCTATATACTGGATTGGATTAATATCAGATTTGCCTATATTAATAAATTTCATGAATTTTTTAACTAAATAGTATGTGATTATCTCAAGAATTAGAAATTTTCAATTCCAAGTTTGTAAGCTCTGTAAAGGAAATCTTTGCTCTCTCAATATATTGGGAGGTATGCTAACAGAGAAGTTATAAAATGGGCATAAATATAGTTATGAAGGAAATTACATTGTAAATGTGATATATTCGGATATATGATTAAACTTAATAAATATTTTTGTTAACAATTTTCTGTATGTGTACGGTTCAGATGTATTTATGTCTTAACCTGAAACCTTGCCTCACATGTAATATTTTTAAGGGCTTAGGTCTGCCTGCTCCCAGCTTTGGTATTTAAGCATTTCTTTTTTTACTTGAGTTAGCTCAGTGACTTAATGTCTACTCATTTACACGAATAAGTTTTCCAATCTTTTAGTGTCTGCTTACTTAGGTTCTAGTAATAGTACAGAAAATGAACAATTTATTTCTTGATGCCTTTCATCAAATATTTGGCTTCAAAACTGACTAAATTTTCCATTTGACCCAAAACAAAGTTCAATAAACTATATTAAGTACTCCTCTATTTCAGCATAGCACAATCTCTAGCCAATACACTTACCTTGAACCCTCTTGTTAGCTTGTATCTTCCTTACAGGTGTGTCTAAAATGAAAGATTTGTAGTTAGAAACACATTGCTATTCAGGGTAAAATCTGGAGGCCATGGTTAAGCAAAAAAGTCTAAAGTGTTAAGTAACCATCACTTAAATGTGTAGTTATTTGAGAAGTAACCTTTCTGATCCTTATAATTTCACATGATTAAAAAGTTATTGGTTTCACACATATCATAGTGAATGTTCATCAATTGCAAAATACATTTATTTTATGATGTTTGAAGCCCCTTAAAATGTGCCATTTTTGCATAGCATAAATGGCTTACACGTTTTTGGACTTTTAGTGAAAAGTGTGACACTATCCATCTTTACAGCCATCCCTATCTGCAACATGTGCCTCTGTAAAATTGTTATTATAGACCAATCAGCAATTTAGAAAAGGTGAGCCAATATCTCTCTTCCCACAATTCAACTGTCCAGCCTATGAAATAATTTGCAAATAACTTAGTTACAAATAGTTTTTTTTTTTAATAGTAAAGAATTGCAAGAATTTATGAGTTTTTGTAATGGCTTATAAAATACTGTCAAGATGAGATGGGTGCAAACTTTAATTATTGAGTAAGGATATGATTTAGAGTGGGTTTATTAAATTCTAAACAGCAGTTTATTGCATAATTGAAATCAGGATGAAGAAGAATCTACAAAAGTAATTTTCCAAAGCAACAAGCAAATGTATTCACATTTCCTTACAAAAATTTGGTACTGTCTGATAATGAGGTTTTACTGCTTTTTATTATTTTATATGATAGAATCGGAATAAGAAATGCTCCATAAGGCACAGAAACATCTTAGAGTAAAAGTTTAATGAGTGCTGAAATCAGATGTACCCCTCAGTGGCTCTGTTATTTCAAAATGAAAGAGCTGTAGGAAGTTACTTTTAGAGAAGTGGAATGTGAGAGAGTAAACCAGTCATCTGAAGTCAAGGATGTATTTATGACTCAGTGACAATTTGATATTTAGAGATCTAGAAAAAGAAAGCTAACATGGCCAATTATCACCTAGATAATAGCAACCATATTATGCATATGTTCTCTTTTAAAGGATTTATTTCTTTGTATGTGCATATGTGAGTTTATGTATAATATGTGCATGCAGTGCCTACGGAGGCCAGAAGAAGGTGTGGAATACCCTAGAACTTGAGTTATAGGTGATTGTGAGCTGCCGTGTAGGTCCTAGAAATTGAACCCAGATCTTCTGCAAGAGCAGCAATAGTGCTTAACCACTGAGCAATCTATCCAGACCTCATACACTCCTTCTTATGAAAAGAAAAATTCATAGGAATATCTTGTTATGATATGGCATTATGGAAACTGATGTCTTATAGATCTGTGGAGAATTCACATCCTGAGAACTAATAGAACCTCAAGAGGAATAGAAATAGGAAAGAACTCCAGGAACCAAAAACAAGTCCCCATTTTCTTGAGTTTTAGCAGGTATACATTCTTGATGAGGGATCAGTTCTTTAATACTTAAGTGTCATATTTAGAATAAATTTACAGAGTCTTATTCATTAAAGGGGGGAGCATACTTACCTCTAGTTTAAGTCTATAGAATGAAAACAATAAAAATAGAGGCAGGTTCTAGGCAATTAATTCTCTAAAACAGCACTGCTATTCTAAAAAGCTGCTGACCATGTCAAGGGCTAAAAAGAAAAACAGAATTCAATTTGATTTTCATAATGTAGTCACCTTTTCTTTCAAATTCCTATATGATTTTTTGTTATTGTTTTTGGCAAAGTGTTAGGCATTTGAGGGAAAGATTAGAGAGTTCTGTATTGTATCTTCTATGAGTCTTTGGTTTCATTAAGGCTTAGAATATGCCCCACATCTGAAAAGGAATCTTGGGTTTTTCAGATATGTGCAAATGCATATTGAAGAGAAATATAATTATTGGTTGAATAAAAAAATCACTATCACATGTCTATAAGCCTTATGTGAGATGTTATCTATATTAAAATAAACAATAAACAAAAAGCAATTTACAGAACTATACAAGGTCTCAAGAGGATTTGTTTCTTCCTGGACATAGTGATACAATATTTAAAGTTGCTAGCAGAGAAGCCATCGGGACTCTATTTTGCATAAATATAAAACTTCAATTGTCTTTCTTGATTCATAATATATTTCGAAGATCTTACTTGTCTTTGTAAATATCTGATTCTTTTGTGCTCTTAATAGTTTTTGTCTAATATTTTGTTTTCAATAAATTGAACTAGAAAGGTATTTGCTCAGATGTACTTGATCCAAATTACATTTTGTTAACATTTCCTATCTGTCTGAGGAGCTATCATTGAGAGGTAGTATAATGTTTTGAATTCTTTTTTTCCTTTTTGATCTGAAACAAGTCCATTTAATGCCATAGATGGAGAACATTCCATATTTTAAAGATTAATTTTATATGCAAAAGAATTTATGATCCTAATTATAGATTATCACTCAAACAGTTAAAAGAAACAGGTATTCATTCATAAGAATGTAGTTTTGGAAATAAAAGTTGCTAAAAGCACTGTATATGCTGTATCTAGCACCTACAGACCCCCAAACATGCCTGTTCTAGTTAAGGGAGCAGTGAATAAATTTTTTTTAAATTAGAAAAAGCTTTTGCAATTTGGGCTTATTTGCCAGCTAGAAAATTAAAAGCTTGTTCTCTTTACAAATATTCAAAATATCTGCCCAATTTTCTGTGTCAAGGCAAAAAGATATTCATTGCTTCCCAAGTTCTACCACAGAACTTTTTAAAGACTGTATATCTACTAATCATTTCTTTAGAACAACTACTGAGACACATCACTCAATTTGCTGACAACAACCGATGATGCTGTCTTTTCAATCTAATTAAAAGAACACCCTATATGTTCAGTCTTTAAAAAGCTGAGAACTCCACCACAGCCTGTTAAGGGGGTTAGTTGTTACCATTTTACTAACCTCCCTGAAGCAGTCTTTTAATCTCTTCATCTTCAAATAAATGACCATCACCACCTTCAATGAATTTGGTGACCTTGGAGACCTCTGAGAGGATACATGTTCATAGCAAAAATTGGTTTACATAATAAAGAGATAGGGATTTGATGTGATAAATACTGGCATCTGCCCAATCATGAATTCCAGACCAACTTTCAGTTCCATCTAAGTTTTTAGTGTTGATATTTGATATATTATTTCTCATCAGCTGTTAAGCAATTTACCACCAAACAATCAATTTGATTACCATTTTTGGTCCCATCTATATTTTTTTACTAATCCAGTATGTTGACACAGAACATGAATATTGGAGCAACATAGAACAGACAACATCTACAGTTCCTTAGATACGATTTTAGATAGGGGAACAGGTGGCTTAAAGTTACATTCTTACTTTTCTAGACATACTGACCTTCTTGAAACAATTTCTTGATAGTTTCTTCTGTCTCTCCACCTCCAGTAGAAATCCTGGTATATTTAATCTCAGGACCTAAGGGAAAAACAAGGGCAGGGAAACTTCTGTTGTAAAGATGGGAAAAAAAAAGATTTTAGAGTGTGTGGGGCACATGGACTGTGCTGTGACTGTTCAGCTCTGCCACTGTAGAGTAAGTTAGTGCTAGACTAACAAACTGACAGCTATACCCCAGAAAACCTCAGGTTAAGACATATGGCACTAAATGTATTTGCTGACATCGTATTTAATCTACCCATCCATCTATCTGTCTATCTATCATCTATAGAATATCTAACTTTAGAATTTTTAGATTAACTCATAGTTGTGAGACTGATACAAAGGTTTACTAAAATTATCAACTGTTTTGTACAATTTGCATATTTTTATATGTAGATGTATTGATTGTAACATTAACAGAACCTCAAAATATTTCTCCAACTATTCAACAACTCAATAACAAACTATAAAACAAAGGCAGTGTATTATATAGCATGTTTATACACATAATAAAAATATTTTTAGACATGTCTACTAACTTCTAAGTCAAAGTAAGACATAGATACCATATTTGGGAAATGGAGCAAGTTTAATAACTGCCATGACAATGACTTAGATTGTCTGACGATTCTTGTGAGCATATGTCAGGATTAATATAATTCATTCTTTATAATCTGAGTACAGCTCATGTGCAGAACTAAAGATTACCTGTAATAATCCGTTCTTCCCGGGTCTGTTTTTCGGTGATTTCAACAGGCACTCCATCTATAATCTTGGTGTACTTTTTGATGACTGGCTCTGAAGATAGGGAAAGAAAACTTCATGTGAGTCACGTTCCAATGGTGTTGAAACTTCCAGAAGCTAGTTTTAATGAAGGAATGAGTTTCTTACAACATTGTTTAAGATTCTATCATGGGCTCCACATTGCTGGAACATAACATAAATGAATTCAGACCAATGGAGTTCTTTTTGTGGTTTGTTAGTTTGTTTTGAGACAGGGTCTTCCTGTAGCCACAGCTGGCCTAAAATGCACTATGTAGATCAGGCTGGTCTCAGTCTCACAGTGATCCACCTGCCTCTGCCTCCTGAGTGCTAGGATTAACGGTGGGTGCTGTTGCCATCATGCCCCGCAAATGGAGTTCTGAAAGGCTTATTTTTGGATCTTGGGTGGGCAGAGGGTAAGATGGCAAGTTACATCTCTGTCACTGCAAAGGGAACCCGCTATAAACCAATAAAGCCTAATGGTGGCTTATTAGCATAGTATTTGAAACATTTATTTCATTTTTATTTCTCTTATTTTTGGATCTTGGGTGGGCAGAGGGTAAGATGGCAAGTTACATCTCTGTCACTGCAAAGGGAACCCGCTATAAACCAATAAAGCCTAATGGTGGCTTATTAATATAGTATTTGAAACATTTATTTCATTTTTATTTCTCTCTCTCTCTCTCTCTCTCTCTCTCTCTCTCTCTCTGTGTGTGTGTATCTGGCCACATGTGCATATGGAGGTCAAATATCAACTTGCTCTTTCCATCATGTGGGACCCAGGGATATAACAAATAGTCACACTGAGGAAAGGTGCCTTTACCTGCTGAGCCACCCCACCCATTCTCATTTGCAGAGTCTTATACAAAGGTTATTTTTCCCTTTTCTGTTTTGAGTTCAGTTTGTTTCTTTCTTTTGTACTGATATTATTCTAATCATTATACTTTATGATCATTTAAGAAGTGGCATTTTCATTAAGCCTGGGAACTTAGTACTTAAATTATGACTGGACCCATTTAAAAAATAAGCTACAGTATATTTCTGATTGGCTAATAAGAGCTAATAGCTAGAAAATGATTCTCCTAACTAGTGTAAAATAAAAACCAAGAGAAAAATAGCTGTTTAAGAAAACAAATTCTTAACCAGCACTATTTTAAAATAGTCATAGAGATGGTGCCTAGGTACAAGAAAAGACACGAAGTGTACCTCCATGGATCACCTCTGTCACTGTTTCGCCTTCTTTAATCAGTCCGAATTCAGGATCGCCTTCAATTTGAATTTTTGTCATTGCAGGTCCTGAGACATTTAAGGAGACAAATTATTGGGTTAAAGTAATCCTTTAAGTTTTCCCAAACAGGAAATTTGTTTCAACATTTCATGACACTCAGACTTTAGTGTTTCAGGCTTTATGAAAGCAGTTTTAAAAATTTCTTATTGTTTTTATGTTAGACAATATTTAGGAAAACAAATGGTCCAGTCTGTTAGTGCTACTACTTCTGTCTGCTTTAGCATTTAGACTGATGTATAAGCAAGCAGTATATCACCATCTGCCACTAGTAGGGATAGAGTGCCGTTACCCAAGGTAGACATGAGGCTTTTTCTGTGAATTGACATTATATGCAGATTTGAGTTGCTTGAATGACAAATATTTAAATTTTACTTTACTATCTATCAATCTTTATTAAAATAGTTCATTTAATTTTTAAAATCTTTTTGAGACAGGGTTTCCCTGTAGCCACAGCTGGCCTGGAACTCACTATGTAGATGAGGCTGGCCTTGAACTCGCAGACATCTGCCTGCCTCTGCCTCCTGGGTGCTGGGATCAAAGACGTGTGTCACCACACCCAGCTTTCATTTACGTTTTTAATCATTCGGGACCTTACATTTTGATATAAGTAGCATAGGATTGAACACAAGAAAATCTCATATACTTACTTTGAAGATGCTGAGTTTTAAAGTTTATATAAAATGGACTTGAGTGTGCTTACCTTGATTCTGAGAATGATGTAACCATCAGCTTAGTAATAGCTACATGGTCAGTACTTCAAATGCAAACTTAAGCAAGAGTTGCATTTGACTTGCAAAATGATTTTGCTCCCAGAGAAAATCATTTTGAATGTTAGAAAGGTTATCATTACATTAGTTGATCAGGAATATTTCATAGAAGAGTAAGAAAGATTTGGTTCAGTACATTTAATTCATACCCTTTAACAGTTGAATGTAGCTATGTTTGCTTATTTTTGAGAGGATTGATTTGCTTATTTGCAAATTATCAATGTACACCATTACCCAGAACTAAATAGGATAAGAAATAATGAAAACAAGCATGCAGTTCTTTCAACTCATAATATTTTATCTGTGAGTCCAATAAAGATACTGATTATGAAGGATTTGAAGGCAAAGACCCTAGCTAGTACAGTATCTTCAGTGATTTTTCTTTAGAAAAGCCAAAGTGAAGTTCTGGAAGCTCCTTTTGTCATTAAGCTTTGCGAAAGGAGTTTTTACATTTAAAAATATTTAGATGATTTAGATGAGGTCCAGGAAAACGTTCAGCACAGTAGGTACTTACCTATTTATTGAATTGAATTTCAGTTGTCTTATTTTTTTCTTTCTTTCTTTCTCTTTCTTTCTTTCCCTATAGCCCCAGTTGGCTTGGAACTTGCTATGTAGAACAGGCTGGCCTCGATCTCATAGAGATCTGCCTGCCTCTGCCTCTTGAGTACTGAGATTAAAGGCCTTCCTCACCATGCCTGGCTTAAGTTGACCTATTCTTGATTCTAAAATTTGGTTAAGTATCTTTTAAAAAACAATCATCTTAAAGTTATGTCTTGGAGGCTAATGTCTTTATTAAGAACTCAAAAGTCATTAATGAATGCATTAATTTCAAACACTGAAAGGGATGAAAGTAGCAACTGGGATGACTGTAAATGTAGCCAAGATGCATATTTGTTTCTCCTGTTATTTTACACCAAAGTCAAGCTTTCCAGTCTTTACATCGAAGCATTATCCACAGATGACACAGCCCCATTTCCCTCAATATCCCTGTAAGGAAAAGCCCAGGTAGGGCTGATGTCCAAGTATGCACCTATCTGAAGATGGAGTGATAGGAGAAGCTCCTGCTGACCAAGATTGAGAGGAAAAATGGATTGAAAGAAGCAGGAAAAGAGAGGACTCTGAAAATACAAACATAGCACATGTGGATAACTTCAGTTATGGAAGTTCAGTATTTTTACAGGAAATTTTAGGGATTCTGAATTTTTAAAAATAATATAGTCACCTAGAATCATTTTGTCATTTTTCACTGAAATGATCAAGAAATATTTTCAACAAAATTTATTTAACTTCTGCTTAAAATTTGAAATTCTTTTTAAAAAATATTTTATTTATTATTTTTATTTTATGTGTGTGAGTGTATTGCCTGCATGTATGTGAGTGCACCTGTGTCATGCACTGCTGTGGAGGTCACAAGAGGGCTTCGGATTCCCCTGGAACTTGAGTTAAGGATGGTTCGCAGCTGCCATGTGGGTGCTGGGAATCAAACCCAGGTCCTCTGCAAGACCAGTCAGTGCTCTTAACTGCTGAGTCATCTCTCCAGCCTCTTGAAATTCTTTTAATCAACATGCAAACAATGAAATGATTGAGATTATTATATATTGTTTTTAAAGGCTAAGTATAGATTTCAAAGGATAACTCAAGTTAGGTCTTAAGAATGAATAAAAATATAGGTAGATATCCAGAAAGGAAATCAATCTTGTGTTTTCAATGAATTTAAATTGTGCTTACTTTAAAGGAAACAGATACATCTATTCAGACTTGACATTTCATTCTTCAAAATGAAAAGAAATTCAAAAGCCAAGTGTAATTAGAATTCCTGAGATTTCCTTAAAGAGATAAACTGTTCTTTTGAAAGACTGTTCCCATCCTTCTTTTCGAAGAAAGACAATAGCCAGGTTTGTTCTTTGTGGCACATTGCAGCACCAAGTCGCTTAAACAGGGAAACCAGGGTTTAAGTTTGATCGTTAGATATAACTAAAATGCATGAAATCAGGACACTATCCAAGATGTTGAAGTTGGCTAGCCTAGGAAGTATAGAGAGAAAAGTAGCTGCACATTTAGGTTGAAATATCAGGAGAGAAGTAAATATTTCATGTATATACATAAAATATGTTCAGAGCTGAAATTTTAGGTTCCGAAGTTTGACCTACTGAACAAAGTTGTTTTGAACTACATTATGTCTGTTTATAATTTTTAAGCTTTCATTAACATACACCTTCTGTACTACCTTAGGTTGGTCATAAGAAAAAAAGTGCCTGCATGTTGTTAGACAATTTTCTCATGATGGTATACAAGAGATTGTATTGGGGAATTGGAAACAAAGCTACAAAAGGAGTTTATTTTCTGAAGGTGTCTACAGCAAAATGCTCAAGGTTAATTTGTTTACCACGTATCTGGGTACTAGTGCTAATGCAACATCAATTAAATCCAAACAAATCAAATACAAGCAAATGTACTGAAAGTATTAGGTATGTGCCATCTACTTCGCTAAAAAATTTGCACTCCACATTCTGTAATTATGTGAGCATGCCATTTGTAAAGAAATATTTAGCATGTTAGTTTTAAAAAGAATGTAGATATACTCATAGAAATCAGTTTATTATATCTGTTTTCAAAATAAAAGGAACCATGTGCAGCATTGCTTTTTACCTTCAGTTTTGATAATAGGCTGAAGACTGCCTTGAATCACTTTAATTTTTGGTTCCACAACTTTGGTTATAATTTTAGTTGCTGAAAATATAAAAAGTGGAGTGTGAACAAACATAGAAAACGACTTGAATGGAGTTGCCCATCTGCTTTGCAGGGTGCTGTTTATCAGCTATGGTGCTGTGGCCAGGCAGTCACGGGACATGTCACAGTACATGCTTAGTGTCTTCTCATGGCCAGATGTTGAATTCTGAAGTCCAATAACTTGGCTTTGCTCCAGTGGGGGAAAAAACACTAACTAAATGAACGCTCTGCTTAGAGATCTACCATTCTGAACCACTGCAGCCTTTTACCTTCTTTCGTACTTCTTGAAAATACTGGCTGCATAGCAACAGAAGACAAATAAACATGATTAATTCCATGTCATTCAGAATATCTTAAATTGCACTGTTGGATTCTTTCTCAGATAAAAGAAAGACATTTAGAGGAAAGACACAGAGTATTTCCATGCATTTGATACTAGTCATATATAGAAATGAAAATATGGACAATTCAGAATATTTCTAGATGATAAATTTCAGCCAGGAAGACATGAGCTTTATATAACAAATATGATATGGTCACCATTTAATTTTAACTTTCAGCCTTATTCCAATAATTTGTTTTTATTTAAAACATTTTTGATCTGTTTATTTTTATTTTACATGTATGAGTGCTTTTACATGTATACATGTGGGTATGTGTACCATGTACATGTAATGCCTGCAGAGGTCAGAAGGGGACACTAGATCCCCTGGAACTGGAATTATTGATGGTTGTTAGCTGCCATGTAGGTGCTGGTAACCAAATCTGGGTCCTTTGCAAGAGCAGCCATTGTTCTTAACCACTGAGCCACCTCTCCAGCCCCTATGATAGTTTAAAAATAATTTCCAATTTAAAGGTTTTGTTGTGAATGTATATCTCTTCCCAAAGTGAGATAATCATAGGTAAAGTTCATTTAAAAATAGCAGCCACACATTTTGTTGACTTTGGTTGCATAGGTAAACTGCAGGAGTCCTGTAACCAGAGCAATGGACCTCTTTTCCTTCTTAAGTAGAAGCCTTAAAAGATGGTCATGTAGGGAAAAGCTCAAACTGTAGTCACAGCACAGTGCTGACACAGGCCTGAAGGGGTAGCACAATGTGAATTTCTGTCACCTTCTGTTTGTAGGTATTTATTTTGAAGCAATGTAAGTTCTTTAAATTGGCCTTTATAGGGACTGCTTTTCAATTGTATTATATAACATCCCTTGAGACCTCAAATTACAATGCTCTGGCATTCAATTCTCAATCTCACAAGTGGCTGCGACAGAGGAACCTTCCCATGAAGATCAAATGCACAAAGATTTCTATTAGTATTATCAAAGTGGAAAATTACTTTTATCATAAGTGTTTTGCATTATGTTAAGGAATTTGAGATTTAAGATGTTTAAATGTTGTTGTTTTGTTTCAATTCTGCTTTTGTGAAAACAATTTTGACAGTTCTGACTAAAAGATTTACTGATTTTTGTTTTCTCCATATCAAATGTTTTAAAAAGTATTTTATTTATAATTTTTACTTTTATGTGTATGAGTGTATTGCCTGCATATATGTAAGTGCACCCATGTTGTACAGTGCCCATGGAGGTCAGAAGACGGTATCAGATCCCCTGGAACTGGAGTTATGGATGGTTGTTAGCTGCCATGTGGACGCTGGAATCCAGGTCCTCTGCAAGAGCAGCCAGTGCTTTAAACTTCTGAGTCATCTCTCCAGCCCCAACATCAAATGTTTTGTATTTGATAATTTACAACAGAGAATGCTCCCCAATAAAAATTTAAAATGTATGGATTTTGGGGGACAAGTAAAATAAGCAACAAGTAGAATAAAGACATATTAGGGACAAGTTAACAAATGAATCTAAAGTGGCATCGTTGCTTTAATGCATTGACACCTCAGGCATGCGCCACCATGCCGGGCTGTGAAATTACTTCTTAACACTAGTTATAAGCATCTGTAGGGATAAAAGAAATGTCCGATAATGGAATGTAAATCCCAGGGCTTTTTGAGGCTTCTGAGTGGGCTGACAAGAGTTACTAGATTTTCATAATTTTGCATTTCATGCTTTATGAAAATGTAATATTATAACAGCATTCCGTTCATTATAAGAAAAAGGCTGTGCTGCCATATATGGAAAATAGTAGAGCTGACATGGCTACAGTAGAAAGATAAAGGATATTTTTAGACAGATTTCTAGCACTGATAGAGAAAGCTGATTCAACATATCTGATGAATAGAGTCCATAAAGAGCCTTTAATTTGTTATAAAATGTATTTTCCTTGGCTGGAATTTATACCATGCTGAATCATTGCCATTCCAAAGAAACCCTCAGGACAGCACTGAGCTGGCCTGATCCCAGGACTGCGTAAGTCACCACAGAGAAAAGCTGACATTTTGTTTTGCTCCAGACAGTAGTTTTTCTCCTTTTCCATGTCTAGCGTAAATCTTAAGGACATTTTTATAATTAAATGACTGAATGTTCATGGTATGAAGTCATTTTCTAGCCATGATAAAGGTGTGGATGAAGGTGATGTTTTAGTGACTGACAAATTTTGATTGTTTTATGGTAGAGTCAAAACAAAATGAGAAGAACTTCTGCTCTCAAAGCTACGATGAAAGGAAGAAACAAAGGAAGAAAAAGCTGCAAAGAAGTTGTTTGATGAGTGACAGCGGCATTTATGAGATTGAAATGGCTTCTGCCGTTGTTAATAGCTGAGCTTTAATCTTGATAATCTGGTAGTTTGGGGGATTTAAAACAAACAGTAACCCTGGAAACTAGACAGTTTAGGCTTATCTCTAACAGATCTGATGCTCCTTTTCCCAATTTTGGACGTAGCAGTGTTTGAACTGCCATCTCATAAGCATTAGGACTCTAGCACATCTTCTGGTACATAGCTGAGTCTCGGGAGGATGAGTGGCAAATCCGCTGGTAGTGCTACTCTTGTGCCTGTACGTTTGCATTTTCAGATAGCTCGGGGATGTTTTCTAGCACTCTGTCTTTTTGTATGTCATTTTTGATTTGTTTCTTTTGTCACGTTAGTATGCTACTTTTACTTTCTGATAATGTATTACTGTTGTTTCTAATTGGAAGTGAAGTGGGTCAATAGACTTGGAGAAAACAGTCAAACCCACAAGGCCGTTTCCAGAACCCAAATCCTGTTTCAAGAACAATGAGATTCATCAATGTTTGAGATTCTAAATACCAGATTATCAGCAGTCTTTATAAATACAAAGAAAATTATTGACTTCTTGGTTTGCATCTTGTCCCTTAGTTGTGGCTAAAATTGTTCATATACTTACTATAGACGGTCATGGGAATTTCTTTGAAGGTACTACCACGAACAAACTGAAAGTAAATGTTTATGTTTAGTAATATGAAGTATATTGCAAAACTAAGATAACACTGTAATTATTGCTAAAATTAAAATAGTTAAGCTAACTTAATAGAAATAAAGTCCTCATTAAATTATGTCCTAACTCCTGTTACCAGGTCAGGTACCATAAAAACACTAGATCTGTTACTAATAGTTTTAATATTACAGAATATTTAATCCAAAGCTAAGTATACACACCGTATAATACTTACTGCTTTCTACATTACACTAATGCATTCTTCATCTCTAATATTAACCCCACAGTATCTGTTCAACACATTTAGAAATAAAATCCAGTAGCATTCTGTACCTTAATTTGGATGTATTTGATCAGTTTGTTTAGTAGCTCTAGTAGCTGATCATTTCCAACTGGAATGTCTGTAAGATAAATGTTCAACGAATAGTAGTAAGAAAATGTGAAATCAAAACCTAGGTTCATCTTGAAAAGTCTACCAGTGAGTTCAGTGCTTGCAAACCTGCTGGGTAGAGAAGTTTATCTACCACATGGATGACTCCATTTGTTGTCATGATGTCAGATTCTTTGGATTTCAGCTCATTCACCAGTAGTGTTTCATTTACCTGTCAAGAGAAGGGCTGATGTTAATGAGAAATCTCATGAAGGATGGATGCAAAGATAATGTAATGATGGATAAGCACATCTGTAGATTCACTGTGCACAACTTACCCCTTTCAGGTAGATTTTGCTTCCCTGTGCGGTCTTTAGAATGTTAGTGACTCCAGGCTCAAAGCCCTTTCCAATGTAAACACCTGGCGTCAGGTGATAAAGGATGATGTTTTGAAGAGCATTTTTGTCTCCTACAGGAAAAGACATGTTTATTTAATGTACTACATTTTCTGCCATTCTGATGTTACAAGAACTAAAGAAGATAACATTCCATTGTCTTTACTTTTTCGACATTTTGTTTTTTCATGATGTCAGTGTTTGCTCAAGTTGATGTCAATACTTATCAAAACTTCAGTCATTTCAATTAACACAGTGAAAGTTTTATTCACGTACTGTAATTATGACAGTTTCCTTCTCTACTGCATAATTGTGTGTCTTCCAATAAACTACAGCATGAGAGCAAGCAGTTTATGAATGAACATGAATGAGTGACTCTCTACACATCCCCAGTGAGATTAAAGGAAACTGAAACTGAAGCCTGCCAAGAAAACAGAAAGGTGGACGTTTTTGCTGAAATCTGGGCAGCAAAGCTGGAGGAAGAGCTAAGATCCTCAAATCAAGGGGTGATTACTTAGCAATCGCTACTACTTACTGAGCAGAATTTCCTTTTCTTCGTTGGTCATTCCCTTGAAAGCATCATTGGTTGGTGCAAATAAGGTCCAGTCCCCGGGCTGCATCAGGAGATCTTTCAAGTCTGCAGCTTCGAGAAGGCTGAGGAAGATGCTAAGCAGGAAGGACGCACATTTATGTTAATAGATCTAGACTTTGGCTCATTTAAGCCCAGTCCAGTAGAATGGAATCCATGTACTGTGGAAAGAGTGAAAAATCTCACACATTCTCATATGCTTTATATTTAATTTTTGTAAAATTTATTTAATTTCATGTGTATGAGTGTTTTTCCTGAATGTATGTAGGTGCACCCATATTATGCCATGCTCGCTGGCATCGAATTCCCTGGAACTGGAGTTATGGATGGTTGTTAGCCACCATGTGGGTGCTGGGAACTGAACCCAGGTCCTCTGCAAGAGCAGCCAGTGCTCTTAACCGCTGAGCCATCTCTTCAGTTCCTCTCAAATGTTTTAAATCCAGTTTCCCTACTAAGAAAGTTTTATTATGTAGAAATGATTTAAATATATAAATTTTAAGTGTCTTCATCTCAGTTTTTCTTAAAAAAATTAAGGTCATGTCGGGTGTGGTGGCTCATGCCTTTAATCCCAGTACTTGGGAGGCAGAGGCAGGCAGATCTCTGTGAGTTCAAGGCCAGTCTGGTCTACATAGTGAGTTTCAGGCCAGCTGGGGCTACAGCTTTCTCAAAAAGGCAAAAAAAAAAAAAAAGAAAAATTAAGGTCACATTTTATAATTAAACAGATGTATTTTATTTAATATTCTATCAGTTTGTTCTACTAGATATTTTAATTTTTAAAAAATATATGTGAAAAATTTCAAGGAATAGTTCAGTCTTAGATATTTTTCACCCACCAAATCATATTATATCCCAGAAACAAATCAAATGGCATTGAAAAATTGAAAGCATTTGTATGGATTTCTTATTCTAAATTTTATTCTTAGTACTGTGCACCGAATGTCTCTTGGCACAGGAGCTGGGCATCAGGACTGCACCGTGATGCCCATTCTCTTGTGCAGGTGCCGCAGATCAACTCACCTGAAGCGCTTATCCTGCTTTAGCTTATCATGCAGCGACTTCTCTGCTGGTTGAATGATCTCTCGGAATATATGAATGGCTCCGTTTCTGCCTTGCTTGCTTCCTCTCACCATGCATGAATTCTCAATGCAGATGGCCTAGCAAAGCGAAGAAAGAGACATGATATCCTTCTGTCTGCTTGATCTGGATAGGGCTGACCTCTGACATCACAGAAAACAGCTTTTCCCTTCTGCTTTCAAGGCACCCTTGTTATTTGGTCAAGGTTCCTACTACTCTGCATCAGACCTGTGAGTTTTGTCAGTAGGTGGCGAACGTTACACAGAATTCCACGTCTCTATTTTCTGTCATCTCTTGCCGTGTTCTACTTCTAGATACTCTTCTGTTAATATTATCTATAAAATTGCCTGACTTCGTGCTTTATGTGATCTTCACATTTACCATATTTTATAGTCTTTAAGACTAATTAGTTACAGGTCTAATCTTTAATATATGTCTAAATTTAATATATGTACATGTGTGGTTTAATATATGTATACTTTAATATACATGCAAGTATAATTTAAAGTGAAGGTAATTTATTGAGTTATTAAAAACGTGCCTTGGCGCTGTAGCGAGGAGCCACTATGAGCCATATCCACGTCGAGGTGATGGTTCACTTCCCATGAAGCCTTTCAGTTGTAACTTCTCATGTTCCCTGGGTAGAATCTGAATACTGGTTGTAATTTTGAAGGTAATAGTTCTAGGAAATTTCCTGCTTATAATAGTACTCTAGATTCATTCATAGAGTCCATAAATTGGTACGATGCAAATTCATCTTGAAGATCATTCAAAAGAGATCCCATTGTTGTATGGTGACACTGCCGTGAAGCCTCCTGTACGTTTGACTCTACATAAAAGCTATCTCATGAATTACAAAATTTAAACTAGTGTATGGACCATAAACATATTTTAAAGGAAATCATTCTGTTTTCTAGAATCTAAACTAATTTTTCAAAACATCATTATTTCTTTAATGTATAAGTGAAAATTGTCTGCTATTAATTCATGACACATTTGGGATACCTTTCTAAGAGACTTCTCACCAAGCTACTCTCTTCCGTGATCCTATGAATATTACATTTTAAATGATATTTACAAAATTATGAGAAACATTGCTTGTGGCAACTCTTTGACAAGTATCTACCATATAACATTTAGGCAGGTGTAGATAGGTGTCTGTTCTGAGTCACTTACAGTACGATACACGAAGACTCTGAGTTGTTTGCCACCGATGGTCTCCAGGATCTGTCCATTGTAGAGGTCACTAAGGCCGACTTTTACTTTCAATATGTGATTTTGCAGAATTAATTTAAGAAGGCGCTGGTCCATGCTCAGGGTGTCATCTGTGAACAGATTCATGAGGATTTATATGGAAAGTATGGCAGGAGAGAAAACAAGAAAGCGGGCAGTCTTCAGTGTGAGTCATGTATATCCCTCATATCATAAAAGAATCAACCAAGTGCCCAAGTCCCGAAATTCAATCCACAACTACACAGACCTGTCACCTCAAAGGCTCTCACAAGCTCTCACGAGTTCCCACAACAGGCTTCAGCTGTGTAAGGGCTGTGTGCTTTTACAGTGGTTACTGGCAAAAGCTAACTCTTTATGGTGGCCAAAGATTATTTTTTCCTGACAATTAGGTTTTCATTAGTCACATAAGTGAGTGTTGATGAGTCATTTGTAAATTCATCCTTATTACTGGAAAAAGAATCAAAGCACACAGACTCCAAAGGCAGGTTAATGTCAAAACATATGGATATTATTACAAAGGTTATATACTATTTCTAGAAATGCGAATTTCTCTAATTCATAATTTTATATATTACAACTTAGTACTTAGAAAACATTAAAAAGCTTTATTTTTGTTTTCTAATTTTTTTCTAACAATTGAAATATTTCCTTGTGAAATCATTTCTTAGAAAAGTTACCAGCTTGTATTAATTTAAATAATGCCAGTGAACATCAATAACTAGATGTAAAGCATGCACTTCCTGTCAGTATCTGGAGGTCAGTAATAGACTCTTGGTTTTGTTTATTTATAATCTGACATCTATATTTTCCAGTCTCTGAAATGCAAAGTATTCTTAAATATTCTTATGTTGGTGTCAAATAGTCAAATAATAATATTTGTTTTTGTTAATATTTTCTAATACAGCATTATGTGTGCTAGAAATACTATTAGTTTCACAGAATAGTTGTATTCTGGATACTTCCTCTTTCTGTATGCTGTATATATATATGTATATATGTATATGTATATATATATTTTGAGACAGGATCTCACTGTGTATCTCTGGCTGCCTCAGACTCATAGAGATCTGCCTGCCTGTACCTTCTGAGTGCTGGGATTAAAGGCATGTGCCACCACACCTGGCTTGTGTTACATTTTTCATAAGATGTTCTGAAGTAAAGGATGTCTAGTAGAGACGTGCACACAGTATGTGTAGTCAATGCAAAAACTAACCAAAGTTTTGTAAAACATCTATGATTTCTTATTACACACAATCACATTGAAGAAAGGTTCATTGGGGGGAAACAGGAGCAATAGTCTCCAGCACATACCAGAGAATGCATTGTTCACGGGTGCCAACAAAGTGTATTCTCCATCTGGCTTGAGAGAAGAAGCCAAGCCTAACTGCGCCACCAGGTCTGTGAAAGTGGTTTGCTGTTTTCCAGCCAGCTCAGTAACTTGTTTGGCTGTAAAATAAACCGTCACCAGTTCAACAGTGTCGTCATTGTTATTATCATTGTGGGATTAGTAAATCCATTCTTGGCTCTTTTCTAATTGTTTTCAGTGTTAGGCTTTTCAAACATCTGCCTTTCCTAAGTATAAAGGCTCTACTTTTCATTTGGGGGTCTTGATAACTACAAATTATTCCAGAAGGGTAATTTGTTTTATCCTCTTAATGTGGTTTTCTTTAATTATCTATTGCCCCTTTTTTGGTTCTTTCTACCCTGTGAGTGTCAAAGTGTTTTCTTTTATCCAAAGTCTGCCATTTAATTATCTGTCTTTGTGTTGCTAAAAAAGAACTGTGGCAGTTGAGACCATTTGTAAATATTAGGTGCTAGGCCAAGACTCATGCATGACTGCACAGATTTCAAAGACAGTGCTCAGTTACATACTGTCTGTGCGGTGTTTGGGCTTCACATGCCCTTCTTTTTACTGCGTATTCATTCTTCATGACATTAACTGGAAAATAAAGGTAAGTGGGAATAACAGTACAAAACTGATGCTCACCAGAGTCAGGAATGAGGACCTCATCAATCAAATGGATCACACCATTCTTTGTCACAATGTCTTTCTTGTTCACCATTTTGATTCCATTAATGCTGATGCTATCACCTTCACACCCAATCTCAATTGTGTTTCCTTCCATAGTCTCAAACACAGCTCCTCCTGTAATAGCCTCAGAACACTGGAGAGTGTTTAAAATGTGGTACTTCAAGAGAGCTGCAGAAAGAGATTAAAAAAATATCAAATGTCAGATCAAATAATGTGACCCTTAAGTGACACATTTCATTATGGAACTAAATATGTCTAAGAAAACATGATACAGATGTAAACACTAAAGTTTTACAAATCAATTCCACAATAGAAGCAGCTTAGTTTGGTAGAAAGAAAGGAAGAGAGGCTGTGCTTCCGAAATTATTTTTGCATGTTAGAAAATACGGAAGATCCAGTGCTAACTACTACAAAAAGAAGCAGTTGATGTGAAAACAAGCAAAACAAAGTTCTTTGAGATAGTCTGTAAAGTTGTTAGTCATTTCTGTCTAAAGCGCCCAGGTAAAATGAGATAGTCTTCCAAAAGACTGTTCATGATTTGCAGTGTGGTTTTAGATCTCAGTGGTTACATAAGAAGTTCCTTAAAAACACATAGAAAACAGAAAAAAACAAAACAGTATTTTCTTTCTTGAAGGGCATCTGAAGAGCTCTGACTGTTACATACATTATATCTAGACTTATGTCTTCAAAATTGCCATCTTCATTTGGTTAAACATATCTGGAGATTGAGTACACACAATATGCTAGCACAGGATAAAATCTGTATGATCATTGAAAGGTAGGTTGGAAAGAACCTAACTTCATTTAAGTATCAGTAAGTCGTGGCCTGATACTTGTTTTCCATTCTTGATTAAACTTTCTTACTGTCTGTAACTTATTTACTTGAAAATAGCACAGAGGCTGCAGTCTTAAAGCAATGGTTGTTTAAGGTTTATGCTCTTCCTGTTCTTTCAAGACCTTAAAATCTTAGTTTTCTGTGCACTTCACAATAAATATTTTTGTCTTTACGTATCAAAGCTTCTATTATTGGCAAGAACTTTCCATTGCCTTCTTTTTCATTGGCTTCACTGTAGATTTCTAGGAGACATCTGAGAGAGAAAAACCATTTTCCTACCTTCAGAAGCTACTTTGTCTCCCATGATTCTTTCCAGGACACCTCGTGGGAGTTTCTCAAAGGCCTCATTGGTAGGAGCAAAGAGCGTGAAATGACCGTCTCTTCCAAGGGACTCCAAAAGGTCAGATGTGATGGCAGCCGCCTGAAACACAAATGGCTTTCAGAGGATCCAGGTCACAGATCCAAAAGAAGTTGCACACACCTGGCAAAGGCTGTCAGGAGGGAGCCAACAGCTTCGCTATAGAAGTTTGCTCTTATTAGATTATTAAAGGATTATTTTTTGGCACAACCAACATTCCTCAAGCCATTTGGAAGAATAGAAACTCTGCCAATGTTTGTCTGACTGTTGTAAACCCAGCAACATGTACTAGTCACCTGGCCAACTTTCCCTGTCAATCCTGACCACATACATTATTTGAGACGGGATAGTGTCTCCTTTATGAAAGAAAAACAGTTGTTTCATGAACTATGTTGGTAAATTCTGACAGGTTTTTAAAATAGCATTTTAATGGCTCACAGATCTTGACAGGGAAAGGACTTCAATGATCCATGAAAATCTTCCCTTCTGCTTACTCTGAAGGATGAGAGATCATCTTCTGCTTCAAGGAAGTCTTGGATTGAGGTACCAATCTGTGTAAGGACACGGTCAATGACATGGACAACACCGTTTGTTGCAATCTGGTTCCCATGGATGACTCGGGCACAGTTCACAGTGACAACCTGCAGTTATTTAGAAAAATCGAAATTCTGAAATCACATCCAGGTATAGACCACTAAAGTGGCAAAGTGGTTTCTACTTTTCCTTTGTGCTAGTAGGCATGAGCCGACACTGGGATATCAATGCTGTGGATTAAGAGTTTCTATTACTTCCTCTGAGAAACAAACTAAGAGAAAACAGAACCAGAGTAGAACGTGTCAGTCAAACAGCCCACCCGGAAACAAAGTGAAGCTTATCTTTCACTTGTGTTACTGATTTTCTTTTTCTTCTTTAATATAAATAGTTACAAAATATTTCTAATCTTGGTCAAAGAATTACATAAAGAATTCCAAGTAACCCTAAAATGAATTCTGAGAGAAAAAGTGATTATTGTAAAATGCACTTAGTTCTACTGAATGACTTCTAACTATTGCCTCATTGCTGAATATTTTGTTTCTAGAAACTTGGATGTTGACAAAACCCTAAGACCCTGTTGGCAGTTTGCCATAAGTCTTATCCAAAAACACAAGAACCTCAATCAGCATGGTATCTAGACAGTGATGGAAAGAACATTCATTATCTTGATTATCCATTTTGTTATCAACAAGAAACTGTTTAAAACACATTGACTCCTAATTGCCAATCAATCATTCTTTGGGAGAAGACAGTAATAGGGTTGAGGTTTGGGGGTAGGGAGCGGATCATGACATAGTAATTACATTATGGGGACAAATGTTTTATCATTTCCATTAATATCATATGCAAGGCTCAGATAAAAAGAAGAATCATTCAGAAGTGAAAATTTTATAAATGAAACTTACCCCATTGGGATAGTGGTTAATAAAAAGCCCCAGGTTGTTGTACATTGAAGGAATAACCATGCCATGTTTTAGGTCCTTGGTCAACAGTCTCTTATTAACCATGTGGCTGTGTAAAGCATTCAATAACTCAACATTCACATTGTTCTCCAGTCCTCTGCGAATGTCCTAGAAGTAATTAAATAGAAGTTAATTCATTATGGTTGCACAGGATTTACTTTGTGTGTGTGTGTGTGTGTGTGTGTGTGTGTGTGTGCCACATGTGTGTGCCTGCAGTGAACAGAAGAAAGTATCACATCACCTGGAGCTGGAGTCATAGGTGCCTGGGAAGGGAATTTGGGTTCTCTGGAAGAGCAGGAAGTACTTAGCTGCTCAATCATCTCTCCAGACCCCTTCATTCCTACTCTCTTGTTATTTTCTTGTTGCATTACGAATTGATCATAGAAATTCTGTCATCAATAGCAAAATTACACTATTCCAATTGAGAAGGGAATTTTGGAATTTTAAATACTCAGTTAAGGATTCTAAATCTGATGCTAGAACACTTGTATATTTTTCAAGACAAAACAAGTTTTTAAAATGTAATGAGGAAGAGACGCCTTCATGTAGGTTAATTATGTAACATTATCAGATATTTAAACATGACAAGTGGGTTATGACATCAGATACTTTATGTGACATTATATTTGCACACAACATTTAAGGGTTTTGTGTTTTCATGGTTGTGTTTTGGAAGCAGTGTCTCATTCTGTAGCCCAGGCTAGCCTCAAACTCATGGCAATCCTCCTGACTCAGCTTTCTGACTGCTGTAATTACAGGCATGTACCACCAAGCTTGATTAACAGTTGATTTAACAAGGATTTTATGTTTCTTCCATAACAGGTTTAAGACATCATTGTTTATACCTTCCCAATACCATGCACCATAGCACATTGAACTTGCTGCTATAGTAGATACAACAATAAGCAAGGGGATGTCTCAACCTCTGCTGTACTTGTTAGGGGACTGGAGAGATGGCTCAGCAGTTAAGAGCACTGGCTGTTCTTGCAGAAGACCTGGGTTTGGTTCCCAGCACCCACATGGACGATAACAACCATCTGTAAGTCCAGTTCCAGGGGATCTGACACTTCTGACCTCCATGGGGCATTGCACAACAGGGGTGTACTTACATACATGTAGGCATAATACTCATATACATAAAATAAACATTTTAAATTAAAAAAAGAGGCTAGAAATAGAAAAGTGTGTTTAGGGTCAAAGGAAGGAGGTAGATGTTTTTATTAGAGTTGTTTGGAGACACTCATGTAGGAGCAGATAAGACTTAAATGGGTAGGCCTGGCATAGTGTCATTCTGAACAGATGATATAGCGTCATGGTTGGGAGAGTAAATCTTATCCATTTTCAGTAGCACATATGTTATATTTACCAGATAATGTTCAGGAAGACATTCAGAAAGGCATAATACTGTGAGAATGGAGGGACCTTTTGTGGCCGAGTAAGAAATTAAAGCAGTAATTAAACTGATGAGGTGGGGGCTGGAATTTAGTGATTGGGATTGAATTTTGGAAAGGTAACCAAGGGGCAAAATTCTTTAGAAATGGAAGTATAAGGAGGATTATTATAGATGATCTTCATAGTTAGGTGATTAACTAATTTGTAGGAAATGGAGCTGAGGGAAGCTACAGTTAGTTTTCATGCCTGAACATTAGGATTAATTTTGTCAATCACGAGAAAAGGGCTATAGAAAAAATTACTTACGGAGAGAAAAAAATGGCATACATTTGGAAAACCATTTGCTTAAGTACCCATACAACGCATTGAAGAAGAAATATTAATGTGGACATTAGAAGTCGCTGGGATTCCAAGGAGAAGGGAATATCAGAACTGCAGATTTGACAACTATACATGCTAAAAGAGAGCAGGAGGTGGCAAAAATACGGGGTGGCATGCAGTTAATGGGAAAAAATTGTAACATTCACCATAAAGGAAAGGAGGCACAGGTGTGATCAGAAGGATGGGGAGAGGGGGCTGAGATGTGGAGAAAACAGAGAGCTCTGTAACTCCAGCATCTAACCACACAGCTAAGGTGCAAAACAAAGATAAGAATGTGCCTGGGCCTGAAAAAGGTGTCTAATGGCAGTAGAAATTGTCAGTTCATCTCCTTATGAGTAGAAAGTGAGAGTGCATTTCTATATTAGTTCTATAGATTCAAAAATTGAGTAATATTTTAGTGTGTTATAAAATTAGATTGTCCACAAAAAGTCTGAAAATCAAATATATAGTTTGGAACATTTCATTTCAATATCCACACATGTATCTAGTATTCTGACACTCTTGTAATAGTAATATATAGCACATAATTATTCACATATAAATAAGCATAAAATGTTTAATATAGCTCTATACTCTATACCTAGTTTATAAACCATAATAAAATATAGCTATATAATATAGCATATAATAGATTTTAAATTAACTATACTTTTTTTTGAGACAGGGTCTCAAATGTATCCCTGACTGGCTTGGAACTCGCTATGTAGGCCAGGCTGGCCTCCATCTCACAGAGATCTTCCTGCCTCTGCTGCCTGAGTTTGGGATGAATGGCCTGTACCACCATGCCCAGCATAACTAAGCATTTTAAATTACCTTTCTAATAGATACATTATCTGAAATCACATGTATTTTCCCACTAGCAAGAAGGTTAAGAGGAAAGGAATGAAAAGCAGTAACAGTAAGTATCCTCTCAGCTTATTTTTAGCTCCCTTAAAAACAATTATGTCTCCTGGGGAATTCCAGACATTTCAATATAAACACGTGTCATTTCCCCAACAACTCATTTTTTACATGTTTTCACATATGCACAATAGAAAGGTACAGTTTCTTTACATATACAAGTTAATCAACTAAAATGAAATAAATATATTAAAGAATAAAATGACGAATTACAGAGTCCAAGTTGTCCCACGCCTCGTTACTTGGTGCGAAGTAAGTGTATGATCCCTTTCCTTCGATCTCTTCTCTCAGTTTTGAGACATCTGAATAATGTTGGGTTGTAGTGGCTCCCACAATGCCCAGTGTACCATAAACGTGGTCAATAGGCATAACTGAAATAATCAAGAAACCAGCAGGTGTTTAGGATTCCATTTCCAGAACATTCTCACAATCATTCAAACTTGACACCATTCCCCAATACATGAACTAATAAACCTAAGTTTGAAAACTCCGTGAATCATCAGTTTTACATGAAACTTGCCTTTGAGTGTTTTATAATAAAGTATTCCTTCAAACAACTATTTCTTATATTGTTAGTGTTAAGGAAAACTACCAGAAAGAATCTCTGATTATTTCACCTAAAGAGAAGAAGGGGCCTTAATTCTCTCTGAGAATGGCAAGTGTAATAAGTTCCATAATATTGAGTTGAATTTCTAAGCAGTATATCACTACTTAAATTTTTAATTTTTATGGATCTGAGTCCCTAATAGGAATATGTAGACTTGCTTTTTTTCATTTCAATAAAGAAAGCATCTAACAGTTTCAGAATGTTTTTCCAGAATGTCAAATGTCATGTATGAATGTTGACCTGAAAGATATATATATGTCAATGTGCATCCAACTTGTTTTCTGACCCTATTGATTTGAAATTTGGTGTAATTTGGGTATAGTCATAAAATAAATGGTTATTTTGTTAGTGAAGTTCGCAAGACACTTAACAGATTAAATCATAAAATCTACCAAAAACTCTCCAAGAGGAGGAAAATTGTTAAAAATTAGATGGGTGAAATTTAACAGGTTTCATTTCAGTCTTATGCCTAAACTGGAAAGACTCACTCTACACCAACGTCTGCCTTCATAGTTTCAATGTGAAAAAACTTTAATAATTGAGTACAGATATGCGCTAATCATATGACATTTTCACCAAAGTGCAGAGTCTCCCCAAATGGGGTACTTGTTTGATAATCAGTCAGCTACTCAGACCCATGTGGAGACTTTCTATGGTTTGGTGTCTATGACAGTGAGGGCTGTGAAGTCTTTGTCCCACTGGGAACTGGAGGATCAGGAGGAGAAAGTTCTGTTGAGGAAGAGGAACCTGAGGAAGGATGTGATGATTGACATATAGCTGAAGGTCATTTCAGAGGAAATAGATGTGCTATGTCTTCTCTGATTGGCAGAATTATGGGCAATCACATTTCTGCTCAAGGACCATTTATAAACTCTGAGTTGCCCGACTAGGGATCTTGGCTTCTTATGTAGTAGGTGCCAAAACTGTAAATGAGTTCAAAGGGAGTTTTATGGAGGGAAACTGAGTTACTTTCAACCAGACTTCAGTCTGAGTTTCTAGTGAATCATCTAGCTTCCAGTGCATGAGAAATGAGCTCCAATGCTACATCATTATGGTCAGCATACAATTAACACAAAAATATAGAGAATGTTCTTGGACTTGTAATGTATGTATACACTTGGAGTGCATGCACAGGCATACACACACACACACACACACACACACACACACACACGCACACACACAACTGGCTTCTCCATGAGTTCCTTTCACTCTGTTCCTCAAACACAAGTTCTCATTTAATTCGGAAAATTTTTATTTTTACCTGCTGGGCAGCCTTTCATCCCCTCCATTCTCATATAACCAGGGCAACATTCATACAGCACAGTCCTGTACAGTGAGAAAGGTTTTAATATTAAATGGAGAACTGTAACAGACACACTTTCATATAAACTTAACAAAAGATATTATTTCCATGATTTGCTATGAATATAGATGTCAGCTCCCCCCACCCCCACCCCTGCACTTCAGGCTCCAATTTGATTTCTCTCTGTACCTTCATGGCACTGGGGAAAAATTCCCTGATAGATATATGAGCTTAAGAACTTAGTAAGTCAGAATTCAAGTCTTCCCAATAATTTAACATGGGCACAGCAGTGATAATACCAACTCAAAATAGTTGTGAATCCCAAAAGAATGTTTTGGAATAATTTTAATAATTATAAGTAGCAAAGAAACATTCATTACTGTAAGGTTCTTAAGAACAGTAGAAAATACATTAACCCTATATGAGATAAATCATATCTAACTTAAATATTATTAGTATGTATTAATTATAGAAAAATAATGAGTTTCATTGATGTTTTCACACATACACATAATGTGCTTTGATCATACTCATTCCTATTACCCTCTCTTTTCCTAAGATTTTGTTTTTTTCCTTTTTCCTTGAGACAGGGTCTCATATAGCCCAGGCTGGCTTTGAACTCATTCACGCCCACACACATATCTGGCTTTTTCAAAATTATTTTCATTTTTTTCTCACACAAGACAAGTTCTTCATCTAATTTGGATGCTGTCATCTCAAAACACTTGGGAGATGAAAGTGGGAGGATTCAGGAGTTAAGGACATCCTCAACTTTATAGAGAAGTCAAGGCTAGCCTGGGCTACATGGTAGGTTTGAATCCAGCTTGGCCTATGTAGTAACATTCTATTTTAAATTAAACAACAATTACAATAAAACTTGGCAGTAGAATAAAAAACATGGGGGAACCAAGCCATTTTAACTTTTAATTGATATAAATTATTCAACCTACAAATTAATTACTCATACATTCACTATTTTGCAACTCGATAATTAAACATAAATTAGCTAGTTCAGACACTATTTCCTTTTTGTCTATTTATCTAGTTGTGATTTTGTGCTCACAATTACGAATGAATAAAAAAAAGTGGACATTTTTAGGAAAGATGACTAGCTATAAGAAGAAAAACTTTTTTTCTTAGTAAGAAAAAATTATAAAATAACCAAAAATTGAATTATTCAGGTGATGGTCTTATATACTGAGTAAAAAAGTAAATAAGTGTTTTCAAGTTGAAGCCAAGACTATGAATTAATATTCATTATTTGAGATGATCCTTGTGACCTCAGACTCCTATTTTTCTATCTTATTAATGAAAATTTCTAGCATATAACAGACAAAACAAAGTAAGAAGTGCCAACTTCAAGCTACTATAATTACAAGAGCTGGGTGTGTGGGAAACATTAGAGGTAGATGGAGCCCAGGTGCAAATCTTAATTTACCCTACAATAAGTTCATTTACATGGATCTCCGTGGAGATACTTTTCAGAGGTCAAGAAATTGATTAGAAGTCCTTGTGCTGTTGATTTGGTGTACATTATGAAGAATAAAAAATGGGATATAGGGGCTGGAGAGATGGCTCAGTGGTTAAGAATACTGGCTTTTCTTGCAGAAGACCTAGGTTCAAATCCCAACACCCACATGGCAGCTAATAACTGTCTGTAACTCCAGTTCCAGGGGATCCGACAGCCTCTTCTGTTCTCCGCAGGCATTGCATGACACGGGTACACTTACCTACATGCCGGCAATACACTCATACACATAAAATAAAAATAAAGAAAATATTTCTAAAAGTGGGATATAGCTATTCTAGAGACCTGAAGAGCAATAGTGACCAGGACAGGGAATTATTGTCATAAGAAAAATGTGAACATGTACTAACATAATCTAAGGATTGGTTGTAATCTAGGAAAGCAATCCACCAGAGGGAATACAATTTCCAGAACAGTGGCTTATAATTTCAGCTGATAATTGGACAATGTGGTTCTCTGAGAGAATATTTCAAAGACAACAAAAATGCTTTCTCCTTTTCAAGAGCACATATATGCTATACAAAACTCCACGTTCACATACGGGTCAGTAGGTCAGATAGAGCAGGAGAAACGAATAGTCATTGCTACATAGCGCTTGAACCTGGGGAATTTATCCTCTCTAATAGTCACAAAAAGTCATGGAATGTCAACTGAAAATGTCATTCTCTAAAGGGAGCCCACAGACAACTTTATTAAGGGATGCTATATATTATAGACAATACCCGAATCCTAGGGAAGTTCATACTTTTCATCAGGCCTGGCCTGTTTCCTTCCATTAAATTCTCAAGGAACTGTTCAATTGGAAGGCAAACTTGACAGGTGAAGTTTCAGCAAGGACTCTGGCAGCCCGCAGAGACAAGTGGATGGCATACCAGGCTTTCTCCCTGTCAGTGTTGCTGATTGCTTTGGTTCTTGGAAACTAGCATTTACCTTTATCTCAGTGAAGAGCTAGAAGTGTGTTTTCTGCAAATGAAGCTACTAGAGGAACATTAGCTAATCTCACTGAGCAAAGGAGACATTGTTCCATTTCTGGTAAAAAGCCAGGCTGCAAAGCAGGGCTTCTTTTTAATGGAAAGCAAGAATCTTGGCTCTTGCTTTGCACAAACTTTGGCATCTCTAATGTATTTAGATAGTGAAAATAAGATACTTCTTGAACTGCTAGGAAGGATGTAATAAACAGTCCCTAAATATTCAGAAAGCATGCCCTTTCTTTTTTAGTAGTGTGCCTTCCAATGTGTCTCATGGTGCCTACAGTCAGAAGAACAAAGACAGGAAAAAGCAGAGACTCAGAGTTCCCAGCAGGGGAAGATCACTGTAAGCACTGGCTTGCATTATAATTGTGTGACTGACTCACAGATTCAGCAGATGTCTGCAAAGGAGTAGGAACAATGTCTAGGTTAAAAAAATAACACCAAGTTGCAACTCCATTAAGGCCATGAACAGCTGCCAAGTCATGCAGTACCCTAGACCGATTACATGGGTGAGATAGGCCACTGCCATATATCTTGTACACATTAGTCTGGCTTGGAAATAAAGAAAATCCTGTATGTTTCAAGTAGGCATCTGGTCCCAAACGCCTTTTCTCACCAAAGTATATGCATATGTTTAAAATAGTTTAGTCTTAAGAACAATTGATATTTGAGTTATTGTCAGTAATTTTGTATTCATTAATTAATTTATCCTCCTAGAAGCTCCAGAATACAAGCACTGAATTCATGTTTCACAGTTTAAATGATTCCATGTTTAAGATTTGTATCAGTATCACTAGGATAGAAATGCCTTTTTTTTGGTGTGTTGTTGAAAATTTCCCACTTTGTAGCTCAGGCTATCCTAGAACTTGAAGCAACTCTCTTGCCTCAGCCTTCTGAGTGATGGGATTAGAGGTATGAGCCATCATGCCTGGCTAAAAGAAGTTTTTCACTCATTCTTCCACTCTCTGGAGGGTAACTGGACAGTGTGCTAAGCAGGTCTTCGGCTCCTTTCAGTCCTCTGGTCCTCAAGGCATCCCAAAAGAAGATGGGGTCCAGATGAGTGGCAGTGAAGGATTTTCCCATTGTTTTCTTTACATGTAAAGTCTTTCTGAGTTACTAAGTCATCCTGCTTTTGAATTATCTCCCTCACTGGAAAATGATGAATTTGTATCACATAAGTGATTCTTAATCTTTAATAGATACATACACCCAGGATTTTAATTTTGAACCAAATGTTATGGTAGACTAAATCAATGAGCATGTCTACTGAAGAATAATGCTTTCCAGTTCTAAGTGAATCAGTTAAATAAATATGTAAGTCATAGAGGAACCATCCTTTTAGCTCTTGGGATATTGGGTAGTGTCATGAGCAACTGTTATCAATGTTGTGGTCTCCTAAGGAGCAGACAGCTTGTGCTAGGCATAAGGGTTTATAAAAGATGGGCTGGAACTCAAGTTCTATTTAAATTAAAGCTTTGATGTAAACTCTGAGGTAAAGTGGAATAATTCACATAATAATTTACAAATTTTTTAAATAACCAGAAACAAATATTAATATATTGCTTTAGAAATCCTACATTTCAGATCAATTTGTTCTCCTGGACCATTATATATGGAACTTCAAGGAGGTCAAAAGAAATACAGAGGTTAACTGATTTCCTTACAACAGTAGAGGACTAAACAATAGGGACAGTGTGAGGGGCATAGAAGCCATCCTGTCCCCACACCAGGCTGAATCACACTGCCATGTGGTCTGCTGAGCGCCTCTAGCTATGATGGAGATGAAGAGGAAATTTTTCTGTTCATGTATATGAGCCCATCTTTTCAAGCTCCCAATTTTGAACAGTATTTTCAAGAATGGGGTGTGTATCCAAAAGGAGGCATGTAATGTCCCATGGAACCTTTGAAATTGGTAAATGAGAAAAAGATGAGACTCACGTTTTCTTTCCACAGATGGCACCTTGATACCAGTTCTTACAAGAGCTGAAGTATTTCTTTTTGGTGCCTAAGATCTGTTGGAGGGCGCAGACATTTGGGCTAGAGAATAAAGGGAAGGAGAAAAGGGTTAATCTCTAATGGTAACTCTCTTTTCATAGCTACAGTTCAGATGGCCCAAAGAAAGGTTAAGATATGGTTGTGAAATTCCAAGATGTGATTCTAGCCTGGCACAAGCCTCACTCCTAATTGGATTATACTGAGTCACTGTAAAAGCAGAAATCTATGTGAAGAAGAGAGGGAAGGGAAAAGGGAGGGGGGGAACATTCAAGCAGAATTAGGTTTAGCATTGATTTAGGTTTATGGGCACATTACTTTTAATAACAAATATCTTTTAAAAACTAAGCATACACTCATTTGGAGCATGGGTGGCTTTGGGGATTCTCTGGGACAATGAGAGACAGAAGAACAAAGGGCCCAGGTTTGATTATGAACAGATGCTCTACTTTGCAATTCCCTAGGTAATTACAAAAGTAAAGGAATGCTAAAACTAGCTTTTAAACAATCATTTACATAAAGGAACATTGATTTTAAATAGAATAACTCTAAGCACACTCCAGCACAACTTTAGGTTTGTTTTTCTCTTAGAGTGGTGGAAGTTCCATTTCGACTGTGAAGGAGGAGAGTTTGAGAGTTAAGAAAATTCCTCTGAAGCTTAGGAAGAAGTGCCAAGAGCCACATTATAAAGTACAAGCATTTCCTTGAGTTAAAGAGTTATTTCTAATAATTCAAAAAGTCCAAGTTATAGTTGCATTTAACGTATGAAATAAAAATACTTCAAAGAATTTGGAGAACCCAGTTAAGCAGCCCAGAATTTAATTTTCCTACATAAATGAAAATTTCCCTGACATTATATGAGATCCTTCAAAGCATTTAACACCCCAGCCTCTAAAAGGAGAAACTTTGATTTTGAAAACCGTATGTCAGAACTTTGGAAGGAAATAAAAACTCAAGTAACTGAATTATAAAGTATCACTCTATTATATTTTGTTAATTGGAGTAAAGTTAAAGTACCATGTAAAGTAATAAGTTATGTTGATAATAATCTGTAAGAGTTTAAAATGCATATATAAATTGCAGAATATTTATTTTCTCTTTTTTAATCATCTTGAGATAAGCACAAAAAAAACTATCTTGAGATGTGTTTATGAGGAACTTCAATCTGTATTGGTAGAACAAGCTAAACAAAACAAAATGAATAAATAAAACAAATCACGGACTTACCCCTGATCTCGACCCCTGATGCGGCTGTGAGCCAAGACCTTGTCATAGTAACTATTGGCACTTGCAGGGTTAACACCGCACAGCAGGAGCAGAGCAGATATGGGTAGGAGAGGGAGCATCTTCAGTCTCTCAGCTGAGCTCAATTTAGGAAGAGATCTGGCAGTGGACTTGGGAGAGCTGCATTTATATACATGCTGGGCTGTGGGAGGGAGCACTGAGTCGACCTGAGACTCTGAAACCTCTCCAAGAAACACTAGCATCGAGGAGGAGCCAGCAAGTCTGTTGGGTTCCCTCGGTTCACTGAGCTCACTGAGTGCCTTTGCTCCTCAACATGAGGAAGACATTTGTTTTCAATCATCGTACATTCAAACTCCAGTTCTTTCCTTAAGCCCTTCATGGATTTTCTTTATGAAAATGTTAAGTGTTCTGTGGTCTGTCTCTTTCTCAGCCTGAGTCCTGTGCTCAATTACACTCTTTCTTGATTTGATTTTATCACATTTGCCAGTCGTTCCACGGCAGAACTGCAAGGTTATTTTTCACCAGAAAACAAATTACAAAGGAGATTTAACACACATTTTGGATAGATTTAGAACTTTCATAAAGTCTGCAGTCAGTAAGCTGACTCACAGAGGAAGCATGTGGGAGATACATATTTTCCTAGCAGTTCTAGGAAAGAAACTCCAGGTGCCTCACCTGGTTCCCTTCTCTTTTCAACTCTTAATGTGCACAGAGGATTAACATAGATAGGCTTCTGGAGGGTTGTCCTAACTCTTGAAATGTAAAATACATTTGTGTTTCATGGCTTTTTATTTCATACTGTACATAATGTTGAACATCTCTAGGCAGCATATCTACTGATAAGTCCTGGAAAAAAATCAGCCCCTATTGAAAACAAGTATTACTAATCCAAGAGTAATGTGGTAATTAAATGCATATCAAGATACAGGGCCAGCGCCAGGAGTATCATTCCCATTTTATTAAGAACTGAAATTTCTTATTGTTACACTGTAGCAAGCCTAGCCAAGGGAATGTTCATTTCCCACTTCACACATGTGTCAGATGTTCAGAATACTTTTAGTGAAGGTGGTCTGAAGGTCAGGAGCCGCCACTTGGCCGAGGAAGATAACTAGTCTCAGTTTCCTTAAATACACAAGTTTTGCAGCATCCTGGAGAAAAGGGGTAATTCCACTTCATTGTGCTGCAAAATCTCCCCTCTTTGATGGCTTTCAGTGTTGTTTTCCCAGTGACAAGAGTGAGACACTGCCTGGACTCTGTGTTTTACACTTGAACTAGCAGGGTAAGGAGAGATTGCATTAGGCCAGAGAGAATTCCCTGTGTCAGAGAGAAACTTATAAGCATCCTGTGGATTTTGCCTTTGACTCTGCAACTTGTAGTTAATTTATTAAGAAAGCACACAAGGAAACAACACAGTACAAACACTTCGCTGGAGAGCTTGTAGAGAAGATATCATACAAGATAAAATGTGTTCCATCCCTGGTCACTTGTGGAGTAAATTATTCTAATCTATTGTTTATATTTATCCAAATGAAGTGATTCTACCTTTATCTGCCTTTCTCTTGTTTGTTTTATACACTGACCTTTTCTTATTGCTAGGTTGTGAAAATGGTAGGTGGTTAGTAACTGCTTAGTGAATAGAACTATCTCATGAAAATAAGTTCTATCTAATCTCAGTCATGTAGCCATTGAAACATTTATTATAATGGTGTTATGTTTGTTATAATGTTGTTATTTATGAGATTGCTCCTCTATTCTAACAAGCGATTGAGGTTTACTTTTTGAATAAAGAACAATATATTTTTGTATAGCAAGAACAAGTTCTTAAGGCCTTCTCATAGTTTTAAATAACAGAAATCTGAATTCTATCCATCCTGCTTGGAACTTCCTCATGGAAGTCTGCAAATACCAGATCACAACAATATTTATAATTGGGATTAGTAATGACATCAAGGAGGGTATTGAAAATAAGAGCTGGATGGCTCGCATAAACCACTGGCAAATCTGGAGAACAAGAAACTGAAGGAGATTTTAGGGTAAGTATGAAAAAAAAATTACTTGAAAAACTGAGGCCAATCCAGAAGTATGATGTTAACTAGTGGGAGAAATCCAAGGCCAGATTCTGATCCATAACTGATGTTGGAGGAAGGTAAAGGAAGGGAAGGGAGCCTTTCCCAAAATGGGAAGGAAAGTTAGCTCACGTTATAGAAGAGACGGGAAGATCTAGGGAAGAAAACATTTCCCCTCAGATGGCCTCTCAAAAGTCAAATTCCCTCTTTCCACACAGGGCCCTTTCTTTTCTCTCCATGAAAGGTTCCTGACCCTGAGCAGGCCTTGTGATTTTCCTAGCAGTTGGGAAGAAGATGGAAATTATGAAAATGAAGTCAGACTTTTCAGGGATGCAAAGTCTGACCCAGAGACATAAGTCATTAACCAGAAAGAAATGGTTTATTATGTAACTGAAGAATAACAATGTGTCTGAAAGACAGGGCCATTTGTCCCCAGCCTTCCCGATGCTAATTTACTGGCAATTTTCCACTTATCTGGTGGTTCTTTGTGATATGCCTCTAGCCTCCTGGGACCATGAGATCATCAACTACCATGGTTACTGTCTCTAGAGTGAAGCCTTAAAACTCCTGCCCCCTAGTATTTGACATGGAGCATGAACTCAGCGAACCTGGATACTAAAAACCAAGTGCTTTAAGATCAATATGTCCTTGGCTTTGAAAAATCCAGAGTAGCTACTTGTATAATATATACATTTAAATCCTCCCTTTTCAACATGTTGTTCAAGTGTCATGAAAACATCCCTTAATGTCACTTTTAGTTGTAGTCGCTTATGTGGAAATTGCACATAATATAATTCACTAATAAAACCTTGAGGCCTCGATGTTAATGTTGAACCTTTTTGGGGAACACATTCCTCAGCATCTAGGTAGCTGTGCTCAGGAGAATCCTACTGGCTCTGGTAACTAGCTTAGTAGCTGTGCAAACTGAAATTCTAGGCAAGTTCCAGTGGTCTTTGATTTCTTTGAGGGAGGAAAAATGTTTTCTTAAAATTATTAGGTATAAAGAATTTAAATTAAGCAATAATCTTGTGTTAATTGTCCATCTTTAAAATATGCATGTAACCAAAACCAAACCAAACATCAATGGCCAACGTAAGGTGTCCAAAAAGCAAGCTGCTGGCTTGCATATTCATGTTGACACATTATAAAGCCAACACAAAGTGGTATTTGCTGAGCCTTCTTGACAGAAGGATATTTTTGATGGATTTCCACCCAAAGCCCCCAAACACAGTCTGTTGGGACACAGTGAAGACAATGAAACTGTATTCGGAAAAGGATTTGACTCAGTGCACACCAGACTAATCACAAGTAATCGTCGCCGTTTTAACCAGGTTAAAAGCAGGGCAGAACCTCGAAGGTAATGCTGTCTTCTCTGCCTCAGTTTAAACTAATTTCTTCCGGAAGCCTTTTAAGTGACAGATTCACCCTCATACTCGGTAGTCAGCCACATGACACTTTGCCTTCTGAGCTGAGAAGGGTTGCAGATTTAACCATGGATGCTGATGATTAACAGTATTTACTTGTATTTCTCTGGAGACATCTAGTGGAGAAAGAACAGCATAAAATGTTCTTAGAAGCATAGGTACTCTTACATTTTGGTTAAAATACTGATTTGAAACAATGAAACAATCTAAAAGGGTTTACATATATTTAAAACACCAACCTGCTGGGAATTAATAACAGTCTCTTCCAAGAAATCTTTTAAGGCTGATGCTGAAAGACACAAGCGATGTCAAATCACGATGAAAGGTAAGAAAAGTGCTGTTTTTGCACATAAGTGGTTGAAAAATGAATTGCTTCACTTTTTATCTGAGTTTTTTTCTACACTGACTGATTCACGAATAAGAAAATATTTTTGTGTGTATGTCTGTGTAGTGTGTGTGTGTGTGTGTGTGTGTGTGTGTGCGTGTGGAGGCCAGAGGTTGACAATGAATGTTTTTCTCTATCACTTTCAATCTTATATAAAATTAAAAAAAAAATTCTTTAGTCTGACGTGGTGGCACACACCTTTAGATCTCAGCACTTGGAGTCAGAGACAGATAGATTTCTGTAAGATCAAGGCCAGCCTGGTGGTCTACAGCCAGTCTCAGGCCAGCTGGGGCTACAGGGAGACCCTGTTTCAAACAAACAAACAAACAAACAAACAAATTCTTTGATCATATCCACTGCCCCCAAACTCCTTCTGGACTCCACTCTCCCATATTCCCCTCCAAACTTCATGCCTTATTTGTTTGTTTGTTTCAACCCACTAAGTCCAAAAGAAGTGCTGCCCGAATGAACATGGGTGTGAAGCCATCCACTGGTGTACGGTCAACTGACAAGGAGCCCCATTCCTGACCAAAACTGACTTTTCCTCCTCCAGCAACCTCTTCGGCTAGTGGTGGGGCCTCATGAGCTCCTTCCCCCATCCATGCTGGAATATTACTTGACTGGATCTTGTGCAAGTCTTATGCAGACAACCATAGTTATTGTGAGTTCAGGTCTACAATGGCCCTGTCCTGTCCAGAAAACACTATTTCACAGCAGTCCTCCAAGACCTCTGACTCTTAGAGTCTTTCTGTCCCTTCTTCCACAAGTTCCCTGAGCCTTAGGGGTAGTGGGTGAGAGACAGATGTCTTGTTCAGGCTGAGCACTTCACAGATACTTACTCTCTGTATCTGACAAATTATGAGTCCCTTGTATTAAGTAGCATCCACTGCAACAAAGCAGCTTCTCTGAAGAGGACTGAGAGCTGGTCTAATCTACGGGCACAGAGATAAGCATTCAGAAGGCAGTATTTTTATTTTATGTATATGAATATTGCCTGCTTGTAAGTGTACCCTTGTCATCATGCAATACCCACGGAGGTCAGAAGAGGGTGTCAGATTCCGCTGGAACTGGAGTCATCGATGTTTGTTAGCTGCCACATGGGTGCTGGGAATTGAATCCAGGTCCTCTGCAAGAACAGCCAGTGCTCTTTAGTGCTGAGTCATCTCTCCAGCCCCTCAGAAGGCAGTTCGATACTATGTCAGTTTAGCAAAATAATAGTGACAGGTTCTCCCCTAGGGCCTATGAGCTCCACAGTCACAGGTTCTTGATCAGGTTTACA